AGTTATTAGGAACATATTAGACTAGCCAAAGAGACTACGCTAGAGCAAATGATATAGAGAATGTTGATCGCATTGAGTATATATATTAGGTGCAGAGAGTGGTTAAGCCGGATATATGCATATATAGTAATGGGATAGATGACATGCTTGAGAATCTCTGGTAAGTGAAAGAGTTAGAAGTAGTTGATGGTGGATGGTGAATAAGAATTGGCAAATAATTGAAGTGAGTACTCGTAGCGCTTGATAATGCGAGCAAGTGTAGAGAAGCTGGTGGTGAATTGAGTATGATGCTCTGAGAGTGCTTAATAATGAGATGTGATATGCGTTGTAAAGTAGGCTGTCTATACAATGTGAGGATAGGAGTCTTTTAAGCCGTGATTGATTGATAAAGTAAAGTAGTGGTCTAGGATAGTTAATAGAAATTGAATAAAGTGAGCTCAGTTGTCTGGTTAGCTGAAAACTTAATGTGGCTTTAGAATGGAGAATGAATGCGAGAGATAGACTCTCCTTGCGCCCCAGCCCCATTCGCTCTCGCATGCGGCGATCCCCCCCTCTCTCCGCATGTGGGAAAAGGGAGAGTGAATCGGGACATTAAATAATGCATGATGTTAAAGTGCAACGTGCTGTGTGTCGGGTTCTGAGTAATATATATTGAACGCAAGCTCGATAAAGGTGTCGTCACCAGACAGTGTAACTCTGTTGTATCTTTCGATATATAGTAGTATATTAGTATAATATATAATAGTATATAATATATATATAGTATTAGTATATGTATATAGTATAGTATTAGTGTGTACTAGATGTCATGTGTGTGTGGTGTGTGTTGTTGTGTGATAGTGGTGTTTGGTAGTGTGTGATGTGTGTGTGTGTAGTCGTGTGATATATTGATTTTTTTCAATTCTTACATTGTTTGCTGCTTAGTTATAGTTTCTGTTTTCTTTTTATGCTCTAGAGTTGTTCGTGTTTTCTTTTTGTTTCTCTCTCTATTTTCCTTTTTCTTTTTTTCGTTTCTTCTTTTAATTTTTAGTATTCATATATTTAGTCAGAGCATTCACCCTAAAATCCGAACTAATAAACACAGCGACGTTTATTTATCGTCACCTAGATATGTAAGTGTAATATTTTTAAATCACTCTGATTGTTATGGACCGTGTGCAGCGCTATTGTCAAAGCTCAGCTATTTTATCGAATGACGATTAGATATCTCTGGTAGAGTTCTGTGTTTGCCTAGGTACCCATGGAGAGAAAGTATGGAGTATTTATGGGAATATCAAGGGAACATCTCGTTGCTGAAAATAATTGGTACTACAAAGGGCATGTTTTGCCGAACGACGAGCGGCGCGAGGGGGTGTCAGCGTGACTGGGTAACGCATGATCTCACAGTTCGATAAATCTGTGTGAGTAAACTGTTGTTTAGGTAGATGATATAAGAATGAATAGCTATATATTAGTATATAAATAATATAGTATATATATGTATTAAGTATATGAGGTATTAGTAACGTATACTGTTATCGATTGTTTATGCATTTAGGGTATGAGAAAATAAGGAATATAGAAAGAAGGGATAGAGATGATCTATTTGTTGACAGTAGAGGGGAAGAGGGATAAGATGGAGGCGAGGTGGGGTAATACAAGCAGGTAAAAGTAAACGGGTTGAAAAGTTTGGTTTCCCGATGGCATACTGATAGTAGGTTAAGAATAAGTAAGTTAAAGAAGACGGCGAATTGACAGATGGATTCTGTTGCACGTAGTCTGACGTTGAGTGTGTGTTTTAATTTTACCAAGAATATTTTATCACTCAGTACTAGTAGCTGTTGTTCTGTGATGATCTATCCGTCTAGTATAACAGATATAAGTTATTTAAATAAATCGACGATGATAATAACAATGGATAATACAATAATTATTTAATGATAAGCGTGTATAAATAATAACAGTAATATTGATAAAATGATGCGTCGGAGTAAGTAATAATTAATAATGAATGAGAGATATAACTAAACTAATACTAGTAACTCGAATATCAATGGTGAATATCAGTAGATGATCCGATTTGTTGATAATTGAACAATTCAAAATAACGAACGATGAGTAACATTAATGCTGGATGTTAATGCGGTGTTTGGTGGGAGTAGTCAAAAGAATAAGATGTAGGATAATAATTGATTGTATGTATTAGATGAACACGCATGAATGTATGAGAATGATAAGATATAATAAGTGATTGACATAGTTGAATAAATAATAATTAATGCAAATAATAATGCAAACTGTGAAATATAGTAATGAGATAATTAATAGTATAATGAATAGATACTACATAACAACAATGATTACGAGTAACAAAAATGACTAATGATAATAATGATAATAAGTACTTGTATAAATATGACGGTGATGCAAATAATAATAATGAAATATGACAAACGCGATAAAGTTATATGATACGCGGAGGAGAAAATAAATAAAAACTAGAATAATAATATATGTAACAAAAGCAGCGCGGCAACAATACCAACCGGGGTAGATGGTAGTCGATAGACGAGATAAAGGAGTAGAGAGGAGAAGCAACTGAGATTAATTTTTGAGAATATCAATCTACGAGCTTGTTGGGCGATAAAGTACAGCATGCCTGGGTAGTGCTGCTGCTTACGGTGACATATGACATTCCGTAATAGGATCGCTGCCTAACTACAGAGATTGCACAAGAGATTCTTCGAGTTACTGACGAGAGAGGAGATCTAACAGCAAAAGGGCTCATGAAAAGATGCATATGAGTCGGGTCTTGTAGCAGGTGCTATACTCACGTTAAGTTCACATGTGCACACGACACTCTTTTATGCATCGTGTAGACTCGATATTACATTTAATAACGAATTTCCATTTCGCTGCATTCTGGGAATATAAGTTCATCAAGTTGTGCGTATAAAGTATGTTGGCAGTTACCATGAGTTACAATTACATGAGCGTTTCATTAACTTAGGAAGTATTATCTCCTCTCCTATTCATGTATTTATTCGGAGGGGAGGGTGTCCATATCTTTAATAACAAGCCGTGAACTGCTTTTTTTCGCTTAGATAATTGTTCAACTTCTCAATCTGCAGATTAATTATTTTCATAGATACCTTATGATGTAATTATCGAACCTATTCACATTAAGGTCTCCTTACCCGTTGGATCATTTCATGTATTTTTATTATTTATTCGTGTATACACTTTGCTACAATATTCGTACTTCCTTATTTTATTTTTAATTATGGCGACTGCTGACCCTGTGTCTCACCTTCTGTTTTGTTGTATTTTTAACATGTTTGGGCTGATGAACTTTAGATATTGCTATCTGTGATGTGTTAGGTCATGCAGATCATGCATCATCATCATCATCATCAGATCGATATCATCTATTCATCATCCAAATGGCAGTCAATGCATCTCATTTATTGATATGATGATATTATTCATTATTATGTGTATTATTTAAGCTATTTCTGGCTGATCATTAGGGTGTGTGAAATGGTTGCTCTCATTACGGATGTAGCGGGACGCGAGGCACGAAGGTAGGTGAGGATTGTGTAGGTTCAGGGACGTCTCTTTTTACCTTTTGGTGAAGAATGCCTAAATCTTGCGAGCGTCTTTTGACGTGAATCTTAATGATGAATGCGCAACAGAATTCAAGCAGAACTTTCTGAATAAGGTCTTGGACACTCACTCAAGTGTAGCAGTATGATGATGGCTTGGTTTAAAACGCTTTAGTTTCACTCTCGCACGGTTGTCTGGCGGTTGTACTTGCGTTGATGGACATAAACTATGTATGTATCCGCCAGCTGATTTTAAAGCGCATACCGACTGGTATGGCACAGTTAAAAAGAATCGGTTGAGATAGCCATATTATCAAACATACAGCAGATGGAGTCTAATATTAATCAAATAAAAGTATGTTTAGTACATTTTACTATACCGACGGGCATAATTAAAAAATCTGTTAGTATTATTTCAACTCTCCCTGGGAGTGTTTTGGTTGATATGACAAGAGTCCACACCCTCATACTCTTTTTATCTCTCCGACTATGAATACGTAGAAAGGACGGTTAATTTATCTTATCTCTTATATCTACCCTTATTTTGCAGTATTCTTCAGGTATAAAGTGTAGCTAGAAGTATGTAAAGGACTCCCTTTTGTCGTCTTTTTATATATATTATTGATTAGATATGATTTGTTTGAGAATAAGGCAAACTAACCTATAATGGTGATATCAGACCAATTGAAGATTAATCCAATTCTTATGAGATGAATTGATGTGATAATGAAATTGTTTATCGCCTTAGGCATGAAGTTATTGTAATGTTTTGTCCATAACGTCTTTCACTGTCGATGTTAAATAGGATCTATGGTAAATCCGCGAACGTCTGTGGTGTTCTGTCTCCTGTAGTGTCTCCTCTGTCTGTTCGCTCTGGTCGCTGTCTGTCTTCTGTCTGGTTGTCTGTCTGCGTCTCTCTCATCTCTCTTGCGGAGTCTCTAGTCCTCGTCTCTTCTCGGCGGCTGATTAAGGTACGGTGCCTCTCGCCTCGTCGTCGATCTACCATATCTACGTCAACTCGTCGTCTCGTCTTTCTGTCTTCCTCTCGTGTCTCTCACGTGACGTCTCTCCGGTTGTATCATGTCTCTCTCTCCATGAGTCATATGAGTATAGTATATATATAAGTATAAGTGGATAATATAATACGCCAGTATTTAATCTTGCGTAGAATGAGAGCTTATATATATACGGGGCGGACGAGCAGATAGTATATATTATGTTGTGTGTGTGTGTGTGTATGTGTGTGGTGTGTGTGTGTATGTGTGGTGTGTGGTGTGTGTGTGTGTGTGTGTGTGTGTGTGTGTGTGTGTGTGTGTGTGGTGTGGTGTGTGTGTGTATATATATATATATATATATATAGTATATATATATATGGATGTATGTATATGAATACTTATGTACGTATGTTTGTATGTATGTATGAATGCATATGTATATATGCATATATGTATGTATGAATGCATATGTATGTATATGAATACTTATGTATGTATGTATGTATGTATGTATGTATGTATGAATGCATATGTATGTATATGAATACATATATGTATTCACATACAATATGCACTATGCACAGACATAGAGACCAGAATTCATTTTTTGACACGTGCTTAGATAAAGCTGTTTAATGAACAAACCTTTAACAATAATCCTTATAGGTATAACCTCGTACACTTGATGGCAATTGCATTAAGATAGAAGAGTAAACGACAATAACGTTTCAAACTTTATACCCAAATTGTAGCATTCAGGCTTTCTGCTTATTCAAATTTCCCGGTACTCAAATACAGTTTCGGCCTCTCACTTGTGATTGGCCGAGTGATTTCTCCACCGACCAATCACACTTCTGTCCGAAACTCGACGTTTACTTTGATGTTTTGGCTAAGGAGGCTGCCATGAGGAAACAAATAATCTAAGCAGAAAAAAGGAGTAATTCCTCTATCGCACGAGTGGCTACGAAGGTAAGATGCAAATGTTGAAATAGGGATTAAGAGAGCAGTGAAAAGGAGGGAGATTAAGCAGGTGGAATGACGGGACTGATGGAGCCTTTATGGCCATCTTCCTGAGTCTCGACATCCTCTTTATTTACCTTTCTTTGGCTCAGGTAAGCCTCTTGATTAGTGCTTTGATATGATACAAGATGAACGGGATTTGGACACGGACTCTCTGGAAATGCCTCTACTTCTCTCATTGCTGGAGAAATACGTCGGGATTGTCCCTTTTTGTAATGCACTGGGGGTCCATTTCGCAACCAAATAAGGTTTTCCAGGAGATTTTGGTGGTATTCGGGTGAGTCTCTGTACTGTCGTCTTCCTAGCTTCTTTTTGGTTTTATATCCTTGACCCCAGACTCCCTATCTGCTATGCACATACCCCTGGCCTCCACCTCTGCTACATGGCATTGTCTGTTACCTCAGATTTGCAGAATATATTCCATGAGAAGTGTTTAGGGGACACCCATGCCCATGGTTGTGCATCTGGCACTGGCCTCTGCGGGTCCATCAGCGGGTCACGGCAGAAAAGAAATCATAGACCTCCCTGGAGATTTATTACCTAGAAGAACCTGTCAAAACTTGTGTGTTCGTAAAAGGTTGAAGGTGTAAGTGTCTTGGCCCTTGCCAGATTCCAGAAGTCATGGAGAATGAGGCCATCACTTGATGTTAGGCCTACGTTGTTCTCTTGATTATGAACCCCCTATGTCTGGATGGCATGCGACGCCTAGAATGGCCACCTTGCCAGGGACGCTTATGTATTTCTGCTATTATCTTTGTCCAGTAACAGTGTATATCCCTTCTGGCATGCAGATTTGTAGAAATTTTGGCAGAAAATAGTAGGACTTCATTATGTCATACATGTTTGTAATAAACCATAAACTTTATCAATGCATATGTGGTGCATGCTTTGGACTAATAGTGTTTAGTCTAAGCAAACCAATTAAATTGCCGTTGGTTATACTAATTAGAGTTGTATAGCATAATGTGAACACAATAAACTGTGCCAGTTGGCTCTCAGTTATTTGTATTCTGGCAAGGTTTAACACTAAATTTATTCATCATTCTAAGCATGTCCATTGGGCACTTGCCCGAAGGCAATGTTGATGTGCATCCCCTTGGAAAGCATTGTTTTCACCTTGGTATGCACGGCAAGATTTGGCTGAAAATCGGAAGCACTGAGTGGACTGAGCCTGAGAGCACCGCTTTCCGCGATCTTTTTCCTTTATTTATGGCCTTACTATTTATGTCTGCCAATTATTTCTTGTACAAACTGCAACTTTTTATCCTCTATAATATCATATTCAACTTGCCCTAACTTAGGGCATCCATACTGTAAAGATTCACCAACAATTGCCCCAAAATGTGTTTATTAAAAAGCCCCCAACTCCACGTTACAAAATTTATTCATTAATCAAAGTTGCCATGACTAGGTGTGCCCTTCGAGACCTGCCCGAGGGGAGCGTTGATGGGGATACCCCCTTGGGAAATATTGTCTTCACCTCGATATACACAGCATGATAGAGCTGAAATTTGGGAGCACTGAATAGACAGGCTGAGGGCAGCGCTTTCCGCAATCTTTTTCCTTTGTGATATTATCGTACATGTCTGCAGATTATTTCTTTTACCTACATGACTTTTTGCCCTCCACAAGAATATAAAATTCAATTTGTCCTAACTTAGTGCATCCATAATGTAAAGATTAGGTCCTTAACCTTTAAATGTTTAATTTGTTTAAATGTGCTTTTTAAATATTTGGTTAGTTTAAAGATTCATCTATACCATAAACATTATTATGTTCATGGTAATGTACTGCTATCTCATGACTGTAGTTTATTAATGTAATCATATCAAGCTGGAGAATGTGCTGAGCGTGCATTGTGTGCTGGTTATAGGCCTTGGCTGCTACAGTACTCCTCCTCTAGTGTGCAAGCGAGTGATTCAATGTATGTTATTTAACAGTCAAAGTTGCCATGATTAGGCACTGCCCAAGGAGAGGGATATTTTTCTTTTGTGTGTGGCATTACTGTTTGTGTCTGCAGATTAATTTTTGTACCAATTATTACAACTTTTTGTTCTTTTCAAGAATGTCACCTTCAATTTGTGTGCATATCATAAAGATTAACCAAGTGCAGTTTTACAAGGGAGCTGGGGAGAATCCCCAGTGAGGGGTGGAAAGGGATTCTCATTGCTTGCTAACTGCCTAGTGTGTTCTTTGAAGTATCCAGATTCTAAACCTGAAGTAGACAGGGAGTGTATTTGGGAATTGGGAACTTGATGAGCCTGGCTGATAGGTACTAAAAGAGCTGTGAGGTGTCCAGTGTAGACCAGTCAGAACTTGACAGTTGGTTGCAAGATGTCCTTGCTTATGACCAATCAGAACACAGCTACTTGACGTGGTATAACCCAACCTAGGTAGTGTGGTTAGTGTTTGTTGTATGTAGGTTGCAGTTCATGGGAACTACAACCCATAACATAAGAAAGATTTAAAAGCAGATTTTAAGACATTTTAATCATACAGTCATTTATAAAACCTCTCCCATTAAAATAAGTGATTATTTATGTGAGATGCTCAGGATGTCCTTATTTTCAGGCAGTGTGTATATCCAGGATGCGTGTCGTGGGGTTGGTGTCTGGTGGGAAGGACAGCTGCTATAACCTCCTGCAGTGTGTTGCAGCTGGACATCAGATAGTAGCACTGGCCAATCTAGCTCCTGGCCATGGAGGCAAGTGCTCATAGTCATTATTGTTTGTTTTTAATTGCTTAGCAGTGTTCCATTTTGCATATGCATTATAATGTTAGTCTGTGCTGTGAGTCTTTCACTTTTTGTATATCTGAACAAAGTAGAAAGGAATTTAGAGATATTTTCAGCCCCGTTATGTATTAGTTTAGACCCAGTGCCTTGAAAGCTTATCAATTACCTTTTTGATATGCTCTAAATCTCTGGTAATCTGCCTGTCAATCTCACATGTGTATTATCTTCTCATAAACCCTCTGACATTGAAAAGACTGTTTCTTATTTTTCATACTTTTATTTGAAAGCATGGTTAACATGGTTGTTATTTTTTTTGTTTTTAATTTATTTTCTCCCCTTATTTCATATATATTTCTTGTTTCCCATGTCTCATTTTTTAAATCACTTAAATTTTGCTTTTGCCTTTAGTTGTTCAGGCCTTTCTTTTCCCTGTAGGCCTTCTTATTTTTTCTTCCTTCTTACAGCATATTTCAAAGCCTCCTCTTATTATACAATTTCTGCTGTACATCTAGGTTCCACTATTCAAGCTCAACACTGGTCTCTTGAGCTATCATAAAGATAATGAAAGTGTATGCAGTGGAATTTGCCATTGAAAGACCTTAAACTAATCAATACATACATTTTCAGATGAGTTGGACAGTTACATGTACCAGAGTGTGGGACACATGGGGGTAGCCATGTATGCAGAGGCTGTGGGTGTTCCACTGTACCGCCGCATTATACAAGGCTCCTCCATCACCACCACCAAGACTTACAACCCAACGGAGGGGGATGAAGTGGAGGATCTCTACTTACTCTTGAAGGAAGTTCAGGTATGGAAGAGAACTGAAATTCAGGCTTAGGTGGAGGAAGGAAAAATGGTTGTATTGTGATTTCCTTTTTATTGTTGTTTGACAATTTAAAGTAATAAATGTTGGAAACTTAAAGAGGAATCATGGCTTTGTGTATTGTATAAGATTTTTGTCTGAACTTTGAATTGATTATATGTTCAGTGATTCGTATCGCTGTTTTGCTTGACTGGACATCTGGGTTTATGAAAACAATTCATTATAGAGGAAACATAATGTAGAATTATAATACATTTTTGTATGCAAGTAATAATAGCATTTAATTATTTGATAAAGGATCAGTATTCATCATTTCCTCTTGTCTCTTCATATATTCATTGATTTTTCTAGGAAAAATGTTCAATTGAAGCAGTGAGTGTTGGTGCGGTATTGTCTGATTACCAGAGAATACGTGTAGAAAATGTGTAAGTAAAATTTGGTTTTGTTGATTCAATCTGAGTGGCATATATTCTTTATAATTATTTTTGCACAGTATCATAAGATATATATATGAGCTGTCTCAAATATCTTATAACTAGATCATAATATGTAAGTGGATTAAGATGGGGTGAGAATGTGTATGAGACAAAAAGATTGGATGTTGCACAAATAAAATTTTCTCTACAGTTATTTTTTTCTTTCATACAGTTGTAGTAGACTAGGCCTCGTCTGTTTAGCATACATGTGGCGAAGAGACCAGTCGGAATTAATACGAGAGATGGTGGAGTGTGGCATAGATGCTATTATCATTAAGGTGGCTGCTATTGGCCTTGAACCAAGAAAACACCTGGGAAAATCTATTAGTCAAATGATAACCTATTTAGAAAAAATGGTAAGTCCTTTACTTGATTGAGTAATAAGGTCTTCATGTGTAGAAGTTAGATGGAGGAAAGCATGTGTATTCTTCTGTAAAATGTGTCATGGGGTCACTTGGAAGCAGAAATTTGGTCTGAAAGAGAAAGACCCTTGGATTTGGATCTGAAATATTAAGAATTAAGGAAGAAATATTAAATATATGAGAAAGTACAGCTAAACATAGTAATGATGGATGGTTAATGTGCATTTTATTCTGCATTTTCAGATTTTACTTTTAGAGATCATGGTAATAATGATTACATGAATATATATTTTTAGCAAGTTGCACTTATTGCATCTTTCCTTCCATTTGAACAGAAAGACAAATACAGTTTAAATGTATGCGGTGAAGGAGGTGAATATGAAACCTTTACTTTGGACTGCCCAATTTTTAGAAAACGGATTGTTGTGTAAGTAGTAGTTTGGTAAAATTCAGATATTTTATTCATAGTTTTTGTTAGATTAGCTTAAATACCTTTTTGTATATATGTATTTCCTGCACCTGACTGACTGTTTCTCTCAAAGTGAAGTAAAAAATTTATTTTCAGGAAAGATACAGAGTTAGTGGAGACATCAGGGGATGTTGGTTATCTTAATTTTACGTCTTTAGAGCTTGTTGATAAGGAAATAGTAAGTAAAGGTTGTGCCTCTAAGCACTTACACATTCTTGCACTGGTATAGATATATGTTTAGTATTAACACAAATTGTTGACATGATCTTTATTACGGTCATTGTATTTTTGCTCTGATATTGGTTGTTATATCTGTAGCCAGAAGATGTGACCCAGATGGAACTAGTAAGGGCAGCAGGTGTGAGAGATTCTCAAGAGTTTTTGGGCGACCTGAAGCTACCAGAGGAAGAGCAACAAGCAGAAGATCAAGCGAAGGAACTGAATCTGGAAGAGGATGACTTGTCTTCTACCAGGTACCTCCTTATCATGGAAGTGTTTTTGGAATAAGCTATATTTTTATAGTGACATAGAGAGACTGATAGATTGTAAGGGTTTCCAGACTTAGATAAAGGGAGAGAGGAAGAAGAGAGAAAATGAGAGAGAGTATAGAGATGGTGAGAGAGTATATTTGTGTTTGTGTGTGTGTGTGTGTGTGTCTGTATTTGTGTATATGTAAGTATTTATATATATGTTTGTGGGTCTGTCTTCGTGTATATGTGTGTGTGTAAGTGTGTGCGTGGATGGATGTAGTGAAGTGTGCTTTTTTTGTGCTTTTGATGAATTCTTTATTTTGCTTATAGTACATTTAGGAAAAATTAAAAACTGCTTTACGGTTAGTTTATGATTTATTTATTTATGTATTGTATATTTAGGCTTATTTTTCCTTTTGAAATAGTTATCATTCATTACTTTTGGTCAATTTTTTCTTGATATTGCTTTGATAAGTAACCACCTTCCACAGTACTTATTTGCTTACTCGTATCCTGAGGTATATCTTTCTCTTATGGATAAGATATTTAAATTTGCATTAAGAGCATCCTTGTTATTATTTGAATATGCTGATTTGGCTTTCTTTTACAGCTATCAGAATTTTGATGCTGGTCACAATCCAGTAATGCAAGTACCAGATAACTTAAGTTACCGAGTTGTCCGTACCACAACTGGCTTTACTTTTGCTGGTAGTTTCGCCGGCAGTACGATGGACGATGTTATTGCCAGCTTAAAAGGTGATATTTGTATTATATTGTGTATTAATGTAATACAGATTGATGACTTCAAGATGGTTCACTTTGTGGCATTGTGTGTCTTGTCTTAGTTATTTTTTCAGCTTTTCCTCTAAATGAACTCACAGCGGATGTCTTAACACATCATGGATAGACCTTCACTCACTCTGGGTTGATGTCCTTTTATGTCATGTACAGTCAAGCCTGCTGTAAGTCTTGCATGCTAAATAGTTGTTTGTCCCTAATTACAGTCATTGAGAAGTAGTAGTCCCTGAAGGATTGGCTCAAAGCTATTCTTATCCTCGTTTTCTAAACAGCCATGAATGTAAACAGTAACATAATTGTATGTACTTGAGAGGCTGACTATGCAAACTATCACCTGGTGTGTGGCTTAATATGGCACTGAGATGTACTGTTGTGAATGGGTTAAGCTGCTTAGTTTGGTGTTTTATCAATAGGTATTAGTTAGAGTATGATGACTGGGTCTTTTTTAATTTATATTGGTATATATAGGAAAGTCAGTCAAGTATAAGTGATCAAGAAAATCCTTTTCCTTGCTCAGAAGTTATTAAGAGGGTAATATGTATTTGTCATAATATCTTTGGCCTTTTAAGATTCTTTTGCATTTAACCTATTGCACCTGAAGAGCCTAAACCACCAAGTTGGCCAAAGCAATGGACTTGCTCTGCTCAAGTGGTATTTGTGAGATTGTGCAATACTATTTTGGTGATTCCATTCATTGTTTGCTGTGCACCTTTGTTTCTGGGGTATTTACAAAAGTATAAAAGAAATGATAGTTTTCAGCCAACTTCAGAAGGCTGTATCTGTATATGATGAAGCATGACTTTTCTGTACTTTTGAAAAAGTACATGAAGCCACACACCTGAACCTGGGCTAAAACTTTGATATCAAATATGTCTTAACTAATAAGTGCAATGTGAGTTAGACCCTAAGAATCAAACCTCTCCAGCGTGTTTTCTCAATAGCTGCAAAGAAAGCATGTTTTTTTTTCATTTTTCATGAAGGCAAATATTGATTGCAGGCATCTGTAAAATGTGCATATTTCATTGCTAACCCATTGGATCTGGGTGCTTCACTGCCATCATGAGGCCCAAAATACAGGCATTTAGCTTATTTGAGTGGCCACTCTGTGCAGTGATAAGACTCCATGCTGCCCCTTTGCAGTGTTATTTTGTATATTTTTACATAAGCATTTGTAGCTCTTAATCACCCTCCAGAAACTTTGTGGACTCTTGGTGAGCCTTCCTTGTCACCCCGGCCTTCAGCCAAAGCACTCACAATGGCATGTGTGTATCATCGAGGTCCACAGGCAAATTTTCCCCTGATGGTATGTTCACATCACCTGCTCCTAAATCCAAATTTTTTCATGGTGTGATGGTCATGTCCAGATCATAAGGGTTAAATCTCAAATACAACAAGTTTTAGTAAAATGGAAAGTTGAAAAGGTTAACACTGATACCCCTCATGTTTGAATGAAATGAAAACAGGAAATATTTTTTTTATCATATAAGCAATAAAATATGTATTTTAAATGTCTTCAAAGTCAGTCGCCTAGATGTATAGATAGTGAAAAGAAGTTGATATACTAGGAGATAATTCTTGTGTTATATTATACTATAGTGTAATTCAGAGTTTGCCTACAGCACCAGAATTACTACTTTATACACATTATGTTTCATTCACATGAAAGTAGAGTCAGAAAAACAGGACTGTGTCATTAGTTAAAGGAGAAAAATCCTTCAAATTTTTGACAGGCATGCCATGATTGTGGGATTAGCATGATTGTGCTGAGTAAGATTGATGGCCTTCAGATAATACTGTTAATATTATTTTTTCTAGTTCATGAATCTTTCAATAAGTAAATGTATGATGGAAAGAAAGGTATCTCAATATGACAGATATTTTTTAATTGTTCATCTGAACCTAACATTAGATATAGATTTAATTTTCCTTCACAGGAGGAGATATTTGAATATTTTTTTTTGTGCAGTATTATTTTGAGCTTTATAAAATTTATATTGATGTTGTTGCAAAAGCTTGATTTTTAGATAATGTACATTTATTTTCTTAAATTTCAGAAAGTCTTCAAGATGAGGAGATGGAATTGCATCATTTGATCAGTGTGAAGATGTACGTACAAGATATGAATGATTATGTACAACTTAATTCTCAATACATCAAACACTTCTCAGTCAGTCCTCCTGTTAGAGTTTGTGTAGAGGTAGGTAGAACCTTCCCTCACTGTGCATTTGAATTGTTATTTGTAGTAATTTCATGCATAAATAATATATTATATATATTATATTTTATTATATTATATTAGATTTTATACACACACACACACGCATGCACGCACTCATGTGCGTGCATGGGTGTTTGTATATATGTATGTACATGTATGTATATGTATATGTATGTATGTATATGTCTATATATATGTCTATATATGTCTTATATATTTGTCTATATATATGCATATATATATATATATATATATATATATATATATATATATATATATATATATATATATTATATATTTTTTTTTGTATTTATTTATTTATTTTTATTTTTTTTGCAAAAATATATATGTATATATATTTATATTTATATGTGTTTATATATATATGTATATATATGTATATATATATATTATATATATTATATATATGTATAGTATATTATGTATATATGTATATATTATATATATATATATATATTATATTATATATATATATATATATATATTATATTATATATATATGTATATATATTATATATGTGTATATATTTATATATGTATATATTTGTATATTAATGTGTATATATATATATATATATATATATATATATATATATATATATATATATTTGTATATTATGTGTATATATATATATATATATATATTATATATATATATATAGTATATATATATATATATATATATGTATTAATATATAAATATATATATA